GGAAAGGATGTGGAACACTGTACCACCAAGGACTAAAGATGAGACCACATCACGTTCGGATTTACGAGGAGATAGTGGACTACCTACTTAAACACGATAAGACCTGACAGTGTTCATAAGAGGGTCCAAGCATCCCTACCGGATTGCTAAGCATCAAATCTGGACTGGTTTTACGAATAGGCTCCCACATAGGTTGGTCCTGCTCCTACCTATATCTGGGAAAAACTTCCAGTGACCCAGGTAGGAGGGTCTCCAACTTTGCCCTCTTCTCAGAGAGTAGAGAAAATTCAACACTCCAAAGGTAAATCCTCTGTTCACCACTCCAGCAACTGGAAACTTGGTGTAGTAAGGACTCCTGAGCTCCATTAGTAGAAGTAGGGGGGACATAAGCGTTGGAGAGTCCTGATGAACAGACCTCTGGAGACAGTGCAACAGGTGAACCACGTTCTTTAATTTTTAAAATCAAACTTATCTCGACTGATTCAGCTCTAAGATCAGCAGGGCCTGGCAAAATCCCCTCTAGCTTTACTCATGATAGTTCATGAGTAGTGGTCCATTAGAAATATTGTAATATGATATCATCATTCAGAATTGCATCCAGATGGTCTTATGGAATCTCCTCATCTCGAGGGAGCTAATTGCAACCAGGAACCGATATAAAGGTTGCTAATGCTGAATTTAAATACAAGGATACCCGACTGGGCAACACTTGCAAGTGCAAAAAATCAATAGAGACCCTAGAAGAGAAAGAAAGAATAACTGTAAGTCAGATAACACGTTACTGACCCCCCTATTAAAATCTAGTAGAGGTAGTCAACACAGCCACAGTGGGGCTGACGAGGTTCCTTCAAAGAGGAAACTGCCAGATCGTGAAGATAATGAAATATAAACGTGTCGGGAGAAGTCCACCTACAGATTTGCAAAGTATCTCCCGAGAAGAAGGACGGAAACAATTAAGGGAACCAATAGAACGAGGAGTGGAAGGAGGGGCCTTGAGACACAAGGGGATGAACGTGCAAGTGGAAGTACAATTGGGTCGAACAGCCAAAGATTATAAAGAAGACTGCAAACATGCTGTATCAACTCTGACTTCTACAGATTCTGGAATTACAACAAATAAATAAGGCCGAAGAAAAGACGCTTCCCGTAAATCTCGAAGGGCAGAAAAAGGTAAGTGAATAGCCTCCAAAAATCTTCAAGACTCAACAAGCCCCAGCAAGAGACCAACCAAGACACTAAGGCAAGTCCTGAAGAGGACAAACATGTCATAATAGTGACCAGTAAATGGCCCAGTTCGTCATTAAATCGTTAAGGCGATCGGTGATATGCTTCAGACAAAAGTTATAAGGAAGAGAAGTATCTTAAAACAGTAGGAAGACCGCGAAAATTGCGACCTGTTAAGAGATAACAGGTTTATACCTGACACCCCATAGATCCAACCATTGAGTGTCCAAATATATATTATCCTGACGATGATACGCCAAAACATATTGTTCAGATAAACGAGGGAGGAGGCATACCGACACCCTCACGTAATTGTGTTGCAAACCTCCATGCATGCACAGCAATATCAGGAGGAGGAAACTAAGTAATCCCCTTGAGAACGATCAGATAAAGCAGGGTAGACTCAAAAGCAACTGGTTACATCTCCAAAACTTCATAAACACGTGTAACTAACTGCAGAGGTGGCTGATCAGACGAGTCCTCCGGAGAGGAAGCTCTAGTGAAAGAAAGAGCAGGAAACAGGAAGTCTAAATTCTCCCCAGAATATCCCATTTCAGAATGAAAGTTCAAATCAGCACCTCACGGAGAGATATTTCCTGGGCCGCATGAAGGACTCGATCTCACCCCGAATCAGGTCAAGGATAGCTTCCACGGAGAGTGCCCCCCCCCCCCGACTACTGACCACTACTAGATAACAAAGGATGAGTAGCCTCCCTGCTTGAAACCGTTACACAGGATTTCATGTCCATTTTGTTTTCGTAATATATTTGTAGGAAAAACAAAATCAACGAAAGGTATCTCTAGATAACAAAACAAAGAATTCCCAATTATTAGAAAACAAAAACTAAGGAAATGTGAATCACAAAATGTTAATCTGAATGCTCGCGCTTTGTCGAGAAAAAGTGATTTTTTTTTTTATTTGCGAGTTATGGGGGTGCCATCAGCAGATGATATGCCCCCAAATTCCCTGATTTGATTTAGTTGAACTAGATACCTTCATCACTGCCATTTAGCATGAAGGAGAAGTTAGTTGTTACATATACACAATTTTTTTATTATACTTTTTGTTTTTTGTTGTAGTTAATTGTGTTACACTAAAAGTCCTACAATGTCATGTTACTGGAAGAATACATATGGAAAAAGTTTACACAGTTACTTCTTCTCGACTGGGGGCGACTCCAGCCGTTGGAGACAAGGATAAAAGAAGTAGCCCTATTAGTAAAAAGAAAAGGACATTAGGTGTTTATGTTTTTGTTATAACGAAGTTATATGTTTCGGGATAGAGACAATTCGTAGTTAATAGAGAGAGGTAGGTAAAAGGGACTTTTATGTTACCCATCTGTTGTTTTATGGCTGCTAGATCTCTTTGGTAAAATGTACATTCCATGAAAGCGTGTTCTGGGTCTTCAAAATTTGAACAATGGCTGCATTCACCATTTGGGTGTACTTTTATTTGGTACAGATGTCCATTTAGACCTGTGCAATTAAACCGGAGGCGTGTAATAATAACTTCTTGATGTCTGTTCGTACATTCATACTTAATGTGAGAAGAAACAACAGGAACAATTTTCTTGTAGATATTGGAATGTTGCACAGAATTCCATCTACGCTGCCAGGAATCTAAAATGAATTGATAAACTTGGCCTTAGAGGTCACCAAGTTCAATAGAAACGTTTGTGACCCCAGGATATGCTAACGCATTCTTGGCAAGATGATCAACTATCTCATTTCCCTGGATTCCTATATGGCTAGGGACAGTGATTTTGTTGTCTGCATACAGTGCTTATATACAGTACCTGCATAGAGGGCGTGTGACGGCCGGCGTAAAGTTTTGCAACCAACATAACGTTACTTCCGCTACCTTCGCCACCATTGGTCTTCAAACCCTCCCGTCACTTTCCAACCCCGTTAAAAGCAATGCCAGTCTCCACGAAATATTTCTCAGAAATGTCCATTTATCCTTTACGCCAGAGGAAATTCATCAAGCCCTCGAAACTACAACCAACTCTACGATCCACGCAGTCCACCATATCCCATCAAAGAAAACAGGTTCACCCTCCACTTTCCTGAAAGTTGTCACAACTTCCAAGATAACCGCAGACTCCATCCTCGCCCATGGCTGCTATCTTGATTACCATCACTTCAAAGTAGAAAAACCATACTGTAAGCCTCACCCACCCACTACCTTTCCTAACCCACCCCCCAAGCCCACGTTCCACAACACCCAAAAGAAAACCACCCCCAACCAGTACTCTACCGCCCATCCTATTACAATTGACCAGGCTACTCAAACTTCACCCACTCCTGAATCACAAGACATGTCAACCCAAACCACTACTACAAAGAGAAAAAAAGGCGCCTAGCCGCAAGTCTTTCCAATAACCAACGACGCTTATCAGCAAACCAGCAACCCGCCTCTCAGCCCCGTGCCACTTTCTACATCATCGTCGTCAATCTCACTAAATGCTCTAGTAATTGACACCTCTCCAGACCTCTTCCTACCCAACGAACCTTTCTGTGCCTTCCACCCACTCACCAGCGACACCGAGGACTTCACGCCTTTAAAAACATCCCATAACCGGAACCAGTACCCCAATAAAACCATGGGGAGCATCAGGAGAATCCACAACTCATTCAAAAGTTAATCAACCCCCAGCACCGGGCTTCACTTTTCCTTCCCTACTTACTTCTTCTTGCTAATCGGGCACTGGTAACGGATTGGTCGTTACCAATGCAAGTGGGTTTTCTTGGGGTACTCCCATTTCCCCTCACATTAAATTCTTGGCATAGGATTTATAGATCTCCACCGCCCTGATGGACCATCTGTCCTATATCGGCCGTTTAGTTCAGTTTACTCTGCTCTTCACTCTTTACTTTCTACTTTTTACTTTTACGTTTACCTTTTTAAATGTACATAGCTTATCTGCATTAATTTCTTGTTTCTCAATTTAAGCCCATATTCCTCGGCCATGCGCTGGGTGAAGGAGGATTGCTTAATCTTCGAGCACCCCTGATTAGTAATTATTTATTCGGAAATAATTATTTTTAAATCAGAATAACTGCCCAAAACGAACGAACGAACATAACGTTAGATAACAAAGATGAAAATCAAGAAATAGCTATTAATATCTGCAGAGGGAGATATACGTGTTTTGGAACTCACAAACATCACACTAAAATTGCTGCTTAACCTAGTACCTAATCCAAAACTGTTGCTTAACTAGATATTTAACAATATGCAAATACAAAAACTGCAACTAAATCAAATATTAAAACTTGGAACATCAACCCAAAAAGCAATTGTTTAACTAAGTCCTGAAAGTCCTCAAATATTACACCAAAATAGAAACATAAATGCATATTAAAAGCATATAAACACCAATGCAAAAACTGCAATTTAGTGAGACACCTTCAAATTACAAAATCAAACCAAATACTACTACTTAAGTGGATATCCAAATTAACAACCTTTAAACTTTAAACTGTTAAACTGGTAATGAAAACAAACAAATATCAAGTCAATATATCTGCTGCTTAAGTGATATTTAAAGCATAAAAACACACAAACTTTGTTACATAGCTCGATGTTTGTAATCTAGAAATGTCCAACGAAAAACAGCTATTTAACAGGCTATTTAAAACTTGCAACCATCAAATGAAAAACTGTCAATCATCAGTTTCATCAACAACACCATAATAAGTTTCAATTAAAATGTTTTTTAAGTCAAATGATCTGATGTTTGATTCAGATACTATTTTTACATAAACAGGCTTACCTCTAACATGTTCCGAACCCTTTCAACATCTTGATCTTGGACTCCTTGTAAAAAACGTCTTTCTTCAACAGTTAAACTTTTCTGATCTAGACTTAATCTTTCTAATGCATGACATGGGCTTTCTTTGCTTCTGGTGGATTTAAAATTTTTTAATAAAATAAAATTATGATGTTTGATTAAAACAAAAGTATTCAATTAACAACAATTATAACATCATCTATTAAACTACTCCACAGTTTAAACGTTTTTAACAAAAAATGGATAAGAGTATAAATTCATATTTATTAATCTATACAAGAGAAAACAGTTATGTTTATTTTGATTCTGATGGCCCCTAGGTGACAATAACATCACTTAAACTTAAACTTAAAAGGGCAAACCAAGCATTAACAAATGATTCACATGGAAACCAGAGGTAATCTATGTAAACTACTAGAGTACTTGCCAAAATGAAGTGACTGTATAGGTATATAAATGTAAATATACACATGATACCACAGGTGTGTATGAACATTACACAGAAACATTCATGAGTGTTTTAGAACACAAATGAATCAATTACAGAAAAGCATGGAAACAAATCATTTGATCTGCATTTTGTATTAATGCTAATAAAATAAAGTTCAATTTTGACATTGAAATATTTGGCAGTGAAATACTTTTCACGGAAGAGATACAAATAACCATGAGACCCAGACTATAATAAAACAGTTTTGTCTAGGGTTTTAAAGAACGCAGTTTTATCTGTTGTTTCTCATATATAGTAGCTCAGAAGATATTTTGACTGGACTGAGTTCCAATGAATAGGTGAATTTATCAGCAGCAAATGAATTTCACAGACAGTGGCTTACATATCATAACAAATATATATATACATTAAGTATAACCGGTGTTTTATTTGGTTGTTAGGAATGTTTTCTGTTATGCAGATTGAAATATTTTTAATAAACAAGTTTTACTGAATATTCTCTTAATATTGTTTCATTACTAGATACAGTATTCAAACATAAAATGCAGGCTGGAAGTGTATCAGAGGGAAGCAGAAAATAACACCTTCATGGTGAAACTTTGTAATTCGTAATGGTGTTGGTTAGTGTTGCGTAACTTCAGTCAGCTTGATTGTGTAGAAACCTTTGCATTCTCACCTACCATTCCTCACTTTACTTTACTTTGGAACATCCTTTGATGAGACAAATTGTTCTCCTCTATCTCTGTTATTACAATACAAGCTTTCACTTTCACTAACATATTTACTTTATGTATCTGCAGGTATTTAAAAGAGGTGACAGAAAAATTTTAAAATATCTAGTCCTTTAGTAACAACAATATTACACATAATGAGAAACTTAGAAGCTTTGAGTAAGATGACATCAACAATATTACAAAAGCCTAGTATAACAATTAAACTAAAAACACAAGGTATGACTCGTACAGTGTTATGTAATAAAACTTGTCATAACTGTTGCTTTTAAAATATTTAACTTTTAACACTCTTGTTATGAAAAATAAATAACCATTAGACATTAAATCCCTAAGTAAACTAAATAATATATCTTAAACTGAACAGTCTTGTATATACAACACTTGTTCTTGTTGTCTTTGTTCTATATAGTAGATATCTACAGTGCCTGATGTTGCTGTACGTCCATGTTGAAAGGATCAATGACTGCAACATACATTGTTGACTGAGTGAAGAATGTCTGTATATCACAGGCAACAAATATTGTGAGAGAATGACAAGTCAGGTGGTGACACTACCATTACACAAACGAACAGAACTATTATCATTACAGTGCATTAGTTCTTCAGAGGGCCCGGCATGGCCAGGTAGCTATGGTGCTCGACTCACAATCTGAGGGTCGCGGGTTCGAATCCCCGTCCGACCAAACATGCTCGCCCTCTCAGCCGTGGGAACGTTATAATGTGACAGTCAATCCCACTATTCGTTGGTAAAAGAGTAGCCCAAGAGTTGGCGGTGGGTGGTGATGACTAGCTGCCTTCCCTCTAGTATTACACTGCTAAATTATGGACAGCTAGCGCAGATAACCCTCGTGTAGCTTTGCACGAAATTCAAAACGAAGTATTTTGGCACTTCATCTTGTCAATTTTGTTCTAAAGTAACTGGATAAACCTGTCTGGCTTTTGATGAAAAGAGACAATTATCTAAAGCTCTGGATACAATGTGGTCCCCAACGGTGTAACATAAGTGAAATTATCACAGAATGTATTGTAATAACAGAGCAAAGAGGAATATTTTTTGCCAATTGTGTTCTAAAGTAACTGACCCAGCCTGTGTGGACTGATGAAAGGAGACGATTATCTAAAGCTCTGGATACAACTCTGGTAATTAAATGTGTAATAAACATTAGTATGTACATTTTACTTGTCTTAATATATTATTTTAAAGCAAGTGAACTGCGTGCTGTTTGTTTATTGTTGAAATTTATTACCAACAAGTCACAGACACCTACTGTAAAGAATCTGTCCCACACATATGTGATGGTCAATCCCTCTATTGGTTGGTAAAAGAGAACACTCCAGTTTGCACTATGCACTTTAAACTCTCATATAATGTTAAATACTGTAAAGGGTATTTGTGCATGCCAGGCTTTTACATATGTGTGGAGGATCACGGGTTCAATGCATAACCTTTAGTTCTCACACTGTCACTTGCAATAATACAACAAGGTATGATTAGCACAGTAATGTACACAAACCTGCAATAAATTATTGCTTCTAAAAATAGCTAAATTTAACATTCGCACTACACGTAAATTAAAACAGTTGTGTATATCTAAGAATAAGCCCCTCTTCAAGAAAAATATTTACAATATTTTATATAACATATACAAAGATTGTTTTCAATTCATGCACAAAGTCTACCCATACTGTCTGCACCAGCATTTGCAGTCCCCTTGATGGTTTCAATGCAGAACCTCTAGTTCTCACACTGTCAGTTTTGTACCTCTGGATGTATGTAAGTGGCTGATGGTCTGTCTGAATGAAGAACCCCTTCCCACAGAGGTAGTTCTGGAATTTCGAGATGGCAAAGATGATGGCCAGACAACCATCGAGTAGTTCTTCTCACTATTAAACATCTTTTTCCTGATGTGCATTACTATAAATAGTCCATCTTCATGTTCTTGCAGAAGTACAGCTTCAATTCCAATGTCTGATACATCAGCCTGAATGATGAACGATCTGTTGAAGTTTGGCATTTTAACGATTAGTGAGCTTCATAACATGTTCTTTAACTTCTGTAATGCCAACTGTTGTGGTTATTTCCACTTCATGTTGTTGGTTTGGCCTTTCTTGTTTAGTTCAATCAGTAGTGCATTGACTTCAACAGAGTTTGGGATGAACTTCTTATGGTATCCTGCTAACCCTAAGAATGATCTGACTTGCTGCTTGGTCGTCAGAACTGGTACGTCTTTTGTGTGGGTTAGCTTCTCCTTTTCCGTGACTATTGTTGGTCGATCACCTTGTTCACAACACAGTCCAACACAGAATAGCCAATGTAGCACTTGGATGGTCTGATGATCAGACCTGCTGTCCTCACTTGTCTGAATAGCTCTCTGAGTTTCTTAAGGTAGTCTTCCCATCTGGCTGTGTGGGTCAGAATGTTGTCTACATAATATTTGATGTTGGTGGTTTTGTGCAACATCTTTCTCATCATGCAGTTGAATGTCACTGCTGAGTTAAATAATCCAAACAGCATCCTCTTGAACTGGTAGCATCCATATGCTGTCACAAAGGCTGTCTTCTCTTTAGATCCTATCTCCATCAGGATCTGCCAGTAGCCTTTACTTAGGTCGATCTTGGAAAAAAACTTGGCCCCATCTAATTTTGCCATGATAGCCCCTGGGTTGCCCATAGGTTCAGAGATGAACTTCGTCACGATGTTTAGCTTCCAGAAACCTATTCAGTAGAGGTTTGAGCCTCCTCTCTCTCCACGATTACTACTGATGAACAGTAGGCTGGTTCCAGCTTCTATCATTGCCTCAACTTCTTGCTTGATCAGCCCTCATGCCATAGGGCATCTGGTAGGGCTTCACCTTGACTGGGTCCTTGATTGTCAGCTTCATCTTGTGTTGCACGAGGTCTGACTTGTCTGGTTTATCTGTAAGAACATCTTTGTCCTGGCACAGTAAATTTTGTATCTCTTTCTTCTGCCTGCTAATCAGTTCTTCACTGATGTTGAATTCTTTGTATGTCTCATTTCCACCCAGCAGTCTTATGTCTAATAGGTCTTCATCTTCTATGACAAAATTTCTATCTTCATGTTCTGCATCTATGAAAACCACACCTGCAGTATCCATCTGTGCTTCAATAGCTACATTTGTTGGGTATTCTTACCTCTCGAAGTATCCCTTCAACAGATTGGTGTGGTTGATCCTGGTCTTCCCATTCACTTTCACTTTATAGTCCATTCTGTTGAGGACTTTCTGCAGCTCAAAAGGTTCTTTCCACTGTAACGTGAGTTTGTTGTTGTCTATGGGTAGCAGAAACAAGATATTCTGTCTGGCTTTGAAATGTACATACTTGGCCTTCTTGTCACAGAAGTGCTTCTGACTGCCTTGGGCTACAAACAAACTTTCTCGAGCGAGTTGACAGGTCTCCTCCAGTCGGTTTCTGAGGTCTAACATGTATTGATATGTGTTCCTCACTTCTGACTCTTCTTCTCCTGTCCATAGGTCTTTCAATATCTGCATTGAACCTCGTACTGTTCTTCCATACTGTCAGGGTTTTAAATATGAGTGCGCTAATGATTCTTCTACAGTAGGTGTCTGTGACTTGTTGGTAATAAATTCGACAATAAACGATAGCGCGCAATTTTAAAATTGTTTTAAAACAATGTGTTCAAAACAAGTCAAACTATGTACAAAATTTATTTACGTTATAGGATATCATAGTTATATCTAAAACCCTAAACAATTATCTTTTCTTGTCAAAGGTCTACTCAGACTGATTCAGTTACTTAAGAATCCAACTGACACGACGAATTATTTTTTCTACTCTTATCAGTAAATAATTCACTTACATTACCCCATGGTTTATCACAATTATATCATAAACTTCAAATAATTGTCTCCTTTTCGTCAAAGTTCACAAAGACGGGTTCAATTACTT